AAAACTATGCTTACATTAAAAAAAAATCTGTCTGTAGTTTCAGTTTCTCACATTTTCATTAATAATAATAATAATAATAATAACCCTATATAATAAAAGGCTAATATGCAAATTGACTGAACGGTGGAACAGCTGGTCGCTATGATGCACACTGACCACCAGGGGGCAGACACTCAATGCAGGAGCTTCCCCCTGGTGGTCATTGTGCTCCCACAGGAGAGTGTTGCTCAGCCAGAAGCCAGGCTCTCGGCTGGTGAGCGCAGCAGGGGTTGCAGGAACCTCTCCCAACTCCAGTGCAGCACTAAGGATGTCCGACTGCTGAGGGCTCCCGGACTGCGAAAGGGGGCAGGCTGGGCTGAGGGACCTCCCCTCACCCCCCCCAAGTGCACAAATTTTGTGCACTGGGCCTCTAGTAATTAATAATAGAGAGAATGTGAGTGTATATATATGATATAAATAACAGCATGAAACTAATGAATAGAAACATGCAGTATTTTAGTTTCAAGATTACCATTCAAACAGAAACTAAAGATGATATTATTATTATTATAATAATACTAGTGCCCAGGTGCATGGATTCATGCACATTGCAAGGGAATTAATTAGAAGGTGGCCAGCAGGGTGGGACTGGGCAAGATGGGCCGGACATGCCCTGGAGCCAGTCTCCTGAGGTCCCTCCCTGGCCGGCCGCACCTGGGGGTGACGCTGTGGCTTGAAGGTCATCTGTGGAGTTGAGGGTCCCTCTGGCAAGTGGGGTCTCTCGGCCTGGCCTGCAGGATTGGGCTGAAACTGGCTCTATGACATCCCCTGAGGGGTCCTGGATTGCAAGAGGGTGGTTTTCGGGTGACATACCCCAGAATCGGGCTACCTCCTCTCTGGTTCCAGGTTTGTCACCCGAGAACCGCTGCTGTCAAGTCACCAGAGCTCGGCAGCTCCTGTGTTTAGCATCTGCCCCCTGGTGGTCAGTGCATGTCATAGCTACTGGTTGGAGCGTCTGCCCCCTAATGGTCATTGCACGTCATAGCTACTGGTCGGACAGTCGCTTAGCCTTTTGTATATATATAGATTGACGACTTACTGTCTGATCAACATTTTATATGTGTAAATATCATGGTATCCCCA